CGACTGACTACGACTGCGACTACGACCACGGCTACGATGACGACAATGGCCACGACTGCCACTGCAACTACGGGAACGGCTACGACTACGACTACCACCGCGCCTCCTGCCAAGAGCACTTCTACTGCCTCCCCTGCTTCTTTTTTCTCTGGTGCTGTCTCTGCTGCTGCTGGTGTTGCTTGCACTTCTACGGCCATGCCCACTATTAGTACTGCAGCGAATCTGAAAACTCAACTCGACACTACTGCAGCCGGTGTTTCAATTTGGACCACCGCTGCAGCGTTGGCGATTGTTGCGCTTCCAGTAGGTGGTGGCTGTGGCAACTGCGATAGCTGCTCACGCGGGTCTTCGCAATAGTATTCATGCTAAGATGCGTGGTGTCACTGCAGGCAGCGTGGAAGCCAAAAGCCCCATGAGCGAAGGTGCCCGAGCACGTCTTCAAGATGTTCTGGAAGGATTTCGACAAGGATGGCAAGGGGTCTGTGTGACTCGGCCAACAAGAGTCGCTGCACTTGTGGGAAGTACCCTGTACATCGATGTAGCAACCAGTCAGGGGAGCTCAGCTTGTTGCCAGGGGCCTTTCGAGCGCAGATTTTCAGTTGCCATGGCGATTGCTACTGCCCTGTTTGCGACATGTGATCTTGCAACCAGCACATGCCGCCAGTGCTGCCAATCCTGAGGACTTTCATTGGATTTGTTAAATGGTACCTGAAGCCCCTCGTCTGCAACCAGAGCGAGTATTTTTCTTCAGGCTAAAGGAGAGCCTGCATGCATGCCATACTTTGAGCCAGCGTTTTGCCAGCCATGCTTTGCTTGAGGTTCATGAAAGGCGACCAGGACCCAATGCAGATGCTGCTGGAATGCAACTGTAAGGGTGTAAGAAAGGGGCCTTGATAATCACCTATGCTATTTTGGGGGTTCCTTATTATATTTATAGTGAAGAGCCCCCAAAACCCTATTCTATTTTTTCAGGCCCTGCAGTCGAAAGGTGGGTGTGACATCAGACTTTCGGTGAGGGCGCCTCGGGGAGTTGCGTGAGTCTTCTTTCGTAAGACACATTATTCTACTGAATCCTAGGGTTTAGGGTTTAGGGTTATAGTGCATTATGGTATATTACAGTAGGCTGCAGTATAGTATGGCATATTAAGCCAGTGCAGTCTCATGGCCGCCTTGAGGCTGACACCCTAAAACCCCAAACCCTCAAAGTCAACCTTTGCTTCGCTCCTAGTCTTTGGATATGGGTAGTTCTCTAAATTAGGGTCCTTTTTGGGCCCCCAATATAGTACGAGAGCACTTTGCATTTCGTAGCTCTCGGGACAGTAAACCTTTGGCCTTCGTCATGAGACTAGGGTTTTTGGGGTGTATAGAATATTGGGACCTTAATAATTACCTATACTATTTTGGGGGTTCCTCATTATAAATATAGTACAAAGGAGCCCCAAAACCCTGAACCCTAATTATTAAGGCCCCTACATTAGTTCTAGTGGGACTAGGGTTTTCGGGGTGTAGATTATACCCTAAACCCTAAACCCTATAGTTCTGTTGAGACTGCCACCCCCCTTCCGCCCACTCCTCGCAAGGGGCCGTGCACTGAGAGCTCCTAGCGACTCCTTTTCTTTGTGTTTTAGAGGCCTATGAGGTGCCGTAATATTGGGGCCTTAATAATGACCTATACTATTTTTGGGGGTTCCTTATTCTGATTATAGCATCATGGGCCCCAAAACCCTCTTCTAATTGTTCAGGCCCCCTATATTAGCCTGGTGTCTCCGAAGACGGGGTTCGTTTTGGGGCCTCTTTGCAAGTATTGTCAGACATCCCAAAGGGGTTTAGGGGTTTAGGGGTGTAGTATAGAGGCCTGAACAAATCGTTTGCTCGGGTTCCTTAGTGCAACTTTGCTACCCCCCGAAACCCCATTCTAACGGTGAAGGCACCTTTTTCCCACCATCTTTGACCTAGTGTGCCCTGGCCAAGGTACTTTGCCTATATGCCCTGGGCTCAGCTACCTTTCTTGGTCTTGATTGGGGTTTCAGGGGTTCGGGTTTTATGTAGGTCTGGGGGGATCCGGAATGTATGTGTTCCTTCTTCCAGTGCTCTTTAACTTGCTGCTCTCTGATCTCTTTGCGAAAGCCTCTTTGGGTGCGTGCTTGCTTGTTTCTCTGTGTGATGACTTCAGCTGCATTCTGCCGAGCCGTTGTGTAATAAGACAGCTTCGCTCTGGAGGCCCTTCCCTGGGAGCCCACAGTACCGATGTCGTGTTTGTCTTTGGTGCTCGGGTGTAGGGCTTGGGCATGATGACTCGAATCATTATGGAGCTCCAGGCCCAATGTAGAACAAACGCCCTTTAATTTGATGCAGTCTGCCTACCCGATCAAAGCGCAGATCACTCTGCCAGGAAGGCAAGGAACCTAACACCTGCTGCTGCTACCAGTAGCTAACATTGGGACGACGGCGAGAACTGCTGGTAGTAGTCTAAACAAGTTGAGCAGTCAGAACGGCACGCTTACGCCGCGATACTTTTCAGCACACTCGTAGTCGCGAGCATAGCGGTTTTGGCTGCTCGTAATCATAACAGTAGCAATCTGAACCAGATTGGTCACAGTAGTCAAAGACTCACCACGACTGTCGTTAGTATCATCATCATCATCACCACCATCATCCTCGTCGTTATGACCATCACCATCAAGAGAAACGTCCTCATCATGATCACCATGGTCTCAACTGCCATTATAACTCTCTTGTTCATCAGTTTCATCATCGTCACTTGCCTGCTGCTCGTCGCAATCACGGCAGGAATGGCCACAGTCGTGATCGTAGGACGTGTGCGTAGCCAAAAAGCGTGACAGTGGTTGCATGTCGTGCCAAGGATGGTACCTAGAATACTCATACCGCCAGTTGAATCACGAGACCTCAAAAAAGGCAGAATCTTCATGACCATAACCCCAACAATAATCAGCACAGCCAGTAAGGTCATAATGAGAAGGGGTGCAATTGGAAGGGTTCACAGACTCCAGGTCTGCCAGCCGTTGATGGCGGAGTTTGGCCGCCATCGCCTGATTACAGCGTGGTCCTCGGGGCTCTTCGAGCTTGCAGGAATGCCCACGCTAATGCCTATGTTCGTGTTGCATGTTGTCAGTTGCTGTGCCCCAGGGGTGGAATTTGCAGAATTTTCTGCGGATGCTCGCAGCAGAGCCCATGTGTCTGCAAGATGTTCATTAAGCTGTCCCTATATGGGAGTTTCAGAAAATTAGGGTACCGTATTTTGGGGTCCTTATAACAGGGATCCTATTATTTAGGGTACTATATTAGGGTCCCCTATTTTCGGAAACCCTTATATCTTCGTCCACAATTCTGCCCTAGGATCTGCTTGCGGAATCTTTCTGTGTACGTGGTGTAATTTAGGGGTCGAAGAAAAAGGAAATGTGCGGCAATCCCTACCCCCCAACAACCCTCGTCGAGTGATCAAGGCCCTAGATTATGTTGTGTAGGCCCTGTTCCCCCAAGCCGTGAACCGTTTGTTTACAGAGCCCCAGCTGCGTTCCCAGGCACCTCCGAAGCGAGACATGTTTAACATGGCTCCTCAGGCGGGATCATATTACTGTGTTCCTCCTGTTCCGTTCTATTCAATTCCATAGTATCACAGTGCAGTAGAGTGTATTACTTATTACAGTGTATCACATTGCCCTACATCGTATTAGATTGTATCAGATTGCATTAGATTGTATGGCATTGTACTACATTGTACTACACTGTTTACACTCTATAATACCGTATTGTCTGGTTTTGTATATCATTATTATATTACATCAGAATCATGACATAGTTGCTAGGAGTCGGCTTTTGAAAGCTTTGTGTTTACGCGAGGCAAATCTGCGGGGGTGGGGTAAGCCGGACACGCCGTTTCCATAGCAAGGGCACGTGTTTCGAACATACGAGAAACCGGCACAGGGTAGAAGATTCAATAGCAAGAAGGGTCCTTTGGGTGCTTTTGGTGCTGTTATGGTAGAGAGCTGTAAAGCGCGGGACCTGGGTATGGAGGCTAGGTGATCTGACAGAATTCAGGCAGAGGATGCTTGAAAAAGCGACCAGGGCTCGCTAAAAAATATCCATGCGGGACGCAGTCAGGTGGCTCGTGGGACATTTTATTCTGCTGCCTTGCTGCACACAGGGTAGGTGCTGGCTTTGGATGTGGTGGGTGCACAGGTAGTTGAAGTCCTTTGAAATTTCGGAAGAGTCGGAACATCTGACCTGCGGAGTTGTCACTTTGACCCTTGTCTAGCTCTTCGCACCAACGCATAACAGTAGGGTTCCACAGAGCCCCAAGTCTTCAGCCCTTGTCAACAGAGTCCTCGCAGCTTCGCGCCTGCGTAAGTTAGCCCTCCGTTTGTCCCGTTCGCAAGCGACGGCCAGCCTTGCTGAGGTTATTGTTCGTGGCCTATGGCTCTCACCACCGCGTACCTTTATCTCAGCTAGAGGGACTCATGGCGAAACGAAGCTGGAAGCATGGCCGGACCCCGAAACCGCCGAAACCTCACGCCTCGGGGCCCTGTGACGGTCCTGTGTCTGAACGCTTCGTGACCATGAGTCCTTCAAGATGTGAGGGGCCCATTGCCACAGCCACAGGAACGGTCCGGGTTCAGTGCAGTGAACTGAGATCCCTAGAATCAGAGCTGCCTTTGGGCGAGCTCTGCGTTTGCGTTTCAGAGGACCAGGTCATGTCATCCGCGAGAATACTGTGTCAACAGATTATGCACTCAAGCTCCACCATGCTCGGTCTATGCGTTTGAGCAGAGGGATATACTGTCGTGACCGGTAGGTGGTTGAAGATACAGCACCACAGCAAAACCGATGTCCCGTCGAGTTCGACAGCCCGCCTGGAACCCAAGCTTTGAATGGCTTTGAGCAGCATCTCCTGCTTGGTTCATCTTGCAAAGCTGCAGGGCTGGGAGCTGAGATGTTGAAGTATACGGAGTCCAGTGGCACCATGTGTCGAACAGCTTTGATACAAAATGAAAGAGCAGGAACATCAGCCATCCTCATGCTACTAGCAGATTGCCACTGCCACTGCCATCACCATGACGCCAGCACCGGCATAATCGTCTCTGCCACCATCACCATCGTCATCTCGTACTCATCATGGTTTCATCATCTTTTCTAAACCCTAAACCCTAAACCCTAAACCCAAAACCCAAAACCATAAAGCTCTGTGGTTTCCAGCTTCTATCTGTGACTGTGGTTCTCTCTGCTGTGGAACCCGCACTGCTGTGGAGCGTGCTTGCTTGCAGGGTGTTCGAGCAGAGAGCTGCCCTTGGAAGGGTCTAGGGTTTAGGGTTCGCATTAGACTTTCGGTTTTAGACAGAAAGTCTTGCAAACTACGCATGAGATCAATAGATGGTATATATTGAACATTGTTTTTTGGAGACTGAAAACAGATTGAAATGTTCCGATTCCGGGAACTGTTGGGCCTTTCAGTCTTCGACTTTTCATCTAGACGACGGGCTGTTTTGGGTACCGAAGGTTTTCAACCATCGCTTGGCACACCGTCGCTACAAACGGGTAGGTTGCGTAGGTGTCGAGTATGTGTGCTGTGAATGTATGCACGCGACGTAGATGCTGTTAGAAACCGTCACTCATACTGTGTTCCGGTTGTGGACTAGTCCGATGCAGCTGTTAGCCCCTTTGGATGGGCACATGCTGCTTCGTGTGCCTATGTGCAGCTTGTTCTACGGGACTGGACACGTAATGTTCATTTCATATTAAGAAACACTCCTCCCACCTCCCCAGGATACCCCCAGTACCAGAGGAGCCAGAAGCCTTCTATAGTGACACACTGAAGCCAAGCCAGAGTCGAGAGTTCTTTTCTGGGTTTGCTTGGGCCAGCGGGGTCTTCTTTAAGCTCAGTTGAGCTTTCATCTAAGCAAGATTCTCGTTGCATTTTTTCCGCTTCGGCGGCTTGGATTCTGCAACTACGGNNGGGGGGGGGGGGGGGGGGGTTTCTGATTACGCTCTGGGAATTGGATTTTGCAACTGCGCGGGGTTTCTTCATACTCATATAATATGAGGTTGGCATTCGGCCTGTATCCAGTTTTCAGAGTGTTCTTAGGACGGCGAGCATCATTACATGTTGAGGTGTAGAAGGGCAGCTTTCGAAGAATTGCTTGTGGCTTTGACCCATGCTGCCTCGAATGCAGTTTGCTGCGGCACTCAAACCTGGCTCTTTTCAGTCAAAAGCGGGCCTTGTCCGGATCTCGCAGAGAACACGTCGATTGTTAGATTCTGAGCGGATTACTTGGGGAGCTAGGATTCTGTATCCTAACACTCGACAGGGTCACCCCACCAGCACCACCACCCTCCACGTACCACCACCCACAACCCACCACCCACCAGGACGGCGACTGCCCCTGAAGTCCCTTCTCCTACCCCAGCCACTGCCAGCTTGGGTCGCCTCCAGCATCTTGGGAAACTGAGGGTATGAGGTGATCTCGTCATCTTCCATTCAGAAACTCCCAGTCATTGTGGCCTCGTCTGCTACAGAGCACACCAAAAATTTCGGACGATTCCAAGGTTCCCAACTGAAGGCTTTGGGGCATCTTCCCGAAGATTTCCCTCCTGCAAGAGCATTGCTAGTAGCTCCAGTCCAGGAAAGCAGACCCTGCCTTGTAAGATACTTCCAAAGCTGCAGGGAGCTCACGCAAATGGGGAGCGCGGCTCTTAGACCGGGAGTTCTCCATTTTGCTTCCGCAGAAGACACGCGATTTTGGGTCATGGGCTAATCCTAACCCCGACACCGCATCCCAGCATCCAAATCCTGTTAGATACGTTTCTCCTTCCGCGAACCTTTCCTGTCGCCGCTCCTCGGTTTCAGGGCGTGCGGGTTCAGAGCATCGGAATAACTCTGCCCCAAACTCCCTCCCCCCGGCCCTCCTCACACAAGATCTCCTGCACCCAAGGCCGGCAGCCCAAGCTGTCGGAGCCGATGGTCCACACGCTTCTGGCACTGCTGAAAGGCCTTCGGGAATGGAGCGGGGGTTAGTAGGGAATGGTAGTAATAGTAGTTTTACTTGTACCCCATTCCTCCATTCCCTACTAACCAAAGGTAAGTTCTGCTACTACGAATGCTAGTACGAGGCGACCTCTGCTGCTCGCGCTGCAGCTTGGTACTCGTACCGGTACTAGGTACTGCTGCTGCAAAGGGTAGTCGGGTACGGTATTGCTATTACCACCACTCCTACTGCTGCTAGTACTACTACTACAACAACTACAACGACAACTGCTACTACTAATACTACTACTGCTGCTGCTACTGATGTTGCTACTACTACTCACAATGCTGCTTCTTCTACTACTACTACTACTACTACTACTACGACTACTACTACTACTACTGCTACTACTACTTTCCTAGTCTCACTACTCGTACTCGTAGTGCTCGCAGTACTCGCAGTACTCGTAGCTGCCAGCACCACGACGACGACTTCGTTTTCTTCTTGTTCTTCTTTTCCTACTACTACTACTACTACTACTACTACTACTACTACTTTTAGTATAACCAGTACCAGTACCAGTACCAGTACCGGTACCAGTACCAGTACCAG